AAAAATTAATATTTTTATTTAAAAATTAACAAAATTAATATTTTTAAATAAAAAAATATAAAGTTCTCATCCTTCCTTTCCCTGGCAAATAAAACAAACTTGATGCAGTAGCAAATAGAGCCGAATATTCCACGAATGGGAAGTGGATACCTTGTAGGGGATCCATTAGCCATTCTCAAAAATTACAGGTGAGTTCCAGTAATTTCAAAACTCATCCTGTTAGTTCATACCCACCTCCAACCCTGTTCAGTCTCATCATCAGAAAAATAGCTGAAGCTTCGCCTCCAGAGTATCAATGGCAGCTCCATTTTCAACACTGGTAAATACCCTTTTCCTCACTTCTGGGGTACACCCAATTGCATAGCGCTTGTTCTCTCTGATTTTCCTTTTTTCTTGTTTATGTTCTTGTAGTCGAATGTGGGTACCCTTTCAGGTCCAAGAAGCCTCTCCAAGAACAAAATTGTAAGCTCTACATGTAATGCTGTGAGGGTTCCTAGAAATTTTCTCATTTCTTCGATTATTTCATCTTCTTCAAGCTCATTCTCTGGCTCCTTGCGTCTTGCAACCCTTACTCCTTCCTCTTCTCCGAGGAATTCCTGTCTTCTTCCTCCCGTCCGAGCAAGTGCTGAGGTTTGTTTCATTTTACCTTCACTGGAATTCGATGAATTTTTGTTGGTCTATAATTAGCAAAGCTGTAAATTTTCCGTTTTTATGGATTGTTTTTAGAGATTGCAAGTTATAATCAGCTCAGTTTAGTTAATAACATTTTTATTCAGTTGAAAAATGAAGAAACTTTTCTAGGTTCATTATATCAATGTGTTTATTTTGGTTTTACTATTTGAGAAATTATTTGACTAATGTTCAACAGCAAGTCCCGAAATTGGACTTTAATATGACTTGGTGAGGGACACTTACTCACCCATTTACTTTGAACTTATTCACCAGTTTTAGTCATTCTGAGTGCAGTTCACAACTGAAGTTGTCATTTTGGGTTCACAACTTAATTCTTTTTCTCTTTTTGCAGGTTGTGGATTTACAGTCGAAAGTTACCCATAAGGTGTATCTGGATATAGGCATTGGGAATCCAGTGGGTAAGCTTGTTGGCAGGATTGTGATAGGATTGTATGGTGATGATGTACCACAGACTGCTGAGAACTTCCGGGCTCAATGCACAGGTTGCAGATTAACATTATCATTTTACAGTGTTGCTGTTTTCTAATTACTTATAACTTTATTTTGATCTTTTTTTCCCTTATTAGGAGAGAAGGGCTTTGGGTATAAAGATTCCACAATTCATCGTGTCATCAAAGATTTCATGATTCAAGGAGGGGACTTTGATAAAGGAAATGTGAGTGCTTCCATCAAACTCCTCTAGTTTCTTTTTCTTTTTTCTTAGTCTAGCAAATAATGGACCTTGGCAATGATCATTTCAATGTTTAGTTGGATAACTTTCTTGCTTAAGGCCAATTCCTTTTCTGTTAAGAGCATCTCCAATGCAGGTAAGAAACCCCCATTGGAGACTCTCTTTAGGGGGTCTCTTGGCTTCTTCTTTTTTTCTTTTTTCTTTTTTTTTTCTTTTTTCCTTTTTTTTTTCTAACATGTGTGGTCAAAGTGGGGTTAGGGGATTTTTTTTTTCTTTTGTTTGTCTTTTGGGGTTGAATAAAATAATATTTGTAAAACATTTAAGGAGTCTCTTATGAGTTTCTTAACTTTGGAGTGAAAAGTCTCTTAAGAGTGAGTTGAATAAAATAAATGTGTAGGAATGAGGTGGCATTTGGGGAGTATTTTTATGAGACTCCCCAATGTGGATGCCCATTCACTCTCCTCATCCACAAGCTAATGGTTATTGTCCTTCCTACTTGTATATTCTAAAATAACCATGAAACCTCTATCATGTTCACGATGAAAGTAGGCAGTAACCATTGTCAAGTGTTCTGATGCTGTCTCAATTGTAACTTATCTATTGCCATATGCAGAGGACTTCCTTAACAATCTACCCTTATTCTAAAACCTAGCTAGCAAGCTAGAGCTTGTAGTTTATTCAGATGGTGAGAACTGAGAAAAAGAGTTATTTCCCAAGGTTAAGGTTTCAAGAAGCCTGATAAAGATGCTTTAACAATTTAGCCTCAAGTTCTCTGTATGTGGCTTATTGGGACAAAAGTTTTTGGTATAACTGTCCCTAACCCCTCTTCTTGAGCCAAGATAGTAAGGTTCCTCCTCTCTTATGAGTAAGTTGCATATGTTTTAATAATTTAATGATGGTCAGTTTGCATCTGCCCCTACCCTAAGAAGTCCTCCATATGAAACTTTGGTCTTAAAAATTTCTTTCATTTGTCTTATCTGCTAACTTAAAATGCATCTTATCTTGTTACCCTGATCTATGACTAGCCATGCCTGCAGTAAATTAGGAATGTGTGTTGTATTACTGTTAATAATTTCTTCTATCTGCATTGTGGAAAATAACATATTTGGTCAAATTTAAAAACACGCTAGCACATTGAAATATGCTTTCTCTTATCTTCATTTTGATAATTATATTAGACATAATATTTCTTAACGTTGTTGGTTTGTCATTTCATTGTTTCTGCCTTTGTTTATCACATCATTTTAAATGTCTTTGCTTCTGCCATTGCAAAAGAAAAGTTATTTCTGTTGCCTCTCATTGTCTTTTGTGTGGGCATTTAGGTATTAGTTTGCACTTGGAACTAGAAAGTAGACATTATTTCATTGAACTAAGTTTGAAATTTATTGCAGGGAACTGGAGGGAAAAGCATATATGGACGTACATTCAAAGATGAAAATTTTAAATGTAAGTTGATTCTCACTTCTCATGTAACTATTCTCTTAATTTGTATATCCTTTTCTTGGAAACTTATTACAGTAATCTCTGCTAGATAGTGTCATGTTAATTCCAGGCATATCTGGTCCTGCAAGGAATTAGAAAGTGATGCTTCCAGATTCTTTTCTACTTTTTAAACCCTCTTGTGTAATGCATTACTGCAGAACATATTTCTTACATATATGTTTTGCAGTATCCCATACTGGACCAGGAGTGATTAGCATGGCAAATGCAGGCCCCAATACCAATGGGAGCCAGTTTTTCATTTGCACTGTGAAGGTATGTTGATTCCATTGCCCCCTTTTGTAAATTTTGGTTTATTGTTATTGATCTGACTTGGATCAAAATACTTTAAGCATGATGGTTTGAATGTTTTGTTATGGTTCTCATTGTAATATGCTTAATTTGCACCATACCAACCTAATCAAGAAGAAGTCTGGTAGAGTATGTTAATCCTTTTTTCTCCCTTGGCAAACCGTAAAAAAGAAATTCCTGACAAACGTGAATAATGATGGGCAGTACTATATTTCTAATGGCAACAGACTAAGAGCATGTTTGGTGAAGCTTGCAAGTGCTTCAGCTTTTTGATACTGTTCATGTTTTATAAGTTTAAATTTTTATTGGTGGGAAAATTTAAAAGTTGCTTTTAAAAGGAGTAAAAAATGAGTAAAAAGGAAGTTTCCAAAAAGCAAAAGTTTAAAGCTTTTCAAAATTTACTATTTAAGGTCTTTTTAAGGTAAAAAAAAAGTTAAAAAAATGTAAGTTTTAGTAGGGAAATTTAAACTTATGAAACATGAATAGTGTCAAAAAAGCTGAAGCACTTGGAAGCTGAACCAAACATGCCCTCAAATTGTTCCCATGCTTGCTTTCTCTAGGAAGACAAATAAGAAATAAATTGTTTCTGCTGTAAGTAACCACTGATATGATACTTAATATTGTTACATATCCAAATTATTCCTTATGATAAAATTTATTGGATTATCTTCTCTTTTCTTCAAAAGCATAAAAATGTAAATATACTTCTAGTGACAGAAGATCTTGTTTACTGTGTTTTTTATACATGGTATATCAAAACTGGATTCCCTTTTGTCCTTTAACTTTACCAAGTGAACTTGCTTCTTACTTGAACATACATTGAAGTATAAACCCACTAGAACTACCACAATATTAAGGCCAAACCTCTATTTGCACCCTAGACATTATTGTTTTTCACAGTCAACACTCTCCAAAATTTGCACTTCTGATCAACACCCTCTATAATATGAAACTCATAAAAAACCCCAAATTACCAACTAAATCAAGGTGCAGATAGAGGGTTTGGCATATTAACATATGCTAGTCTGTGTGTTTGTCTAAGCAGATATACCCACTTTTTAGCTATCATTGCATTCACAATCTTCATATGGTTAGTTCCTTCAAGTAGAAATACAACTGATTCCTTGTAATTGTCATCAGGCTTGATAGTGTCTTTACTTATGTTATTGTTCATTGAATTCAAAGAACAATATTTTAGGATGTGAAAATTTAGATTAGCTACTTGTATGGCTAGAGTTCAGTTGCGTATTTATATTCATCTGTGTCTTGGCAAATGGCAGACACCATGGCTGGATGGAAGGCATGTTGTGTTTGGGCAAGTTTTGGAAGGCATGGACATAGTCAAACTCATTGAATCCCAGGAGACAGACAGAGGAGACCGTCCAAGAAAGAAGGTGGTTATCATTGACTCCGGTGAGCTTCCAGTATCTGAAGCTTGATTCCGGCCATCTTCCTTTTGCTCCATTTTTAACTTCAGAACAGTTTTCCCAGTCTAAAAGGTTATTTTTTCATGAGTTTGGATTTGCTGCGACGTTCTGATCGCTTGTATTGCATCGAGTGCATTACAGCTGGGTTGGAACTTATTAACTGATGAAACATTGAAATGTATTTGTACAAAATGATATTTGCTTATCAATGGATTCAACCCTTTAACCTCAAATAGGGAAGGATATTTTAACCATTCAAATTGTTTCATTGGCCAATGACTTAATTGGATGAAATAACCTCCTCTCTCTTCAAACCAAACAAGCATTTAGGGCCAGAGCTAAACCCATCAAACGAATCAAATTGTGAGGCTTTGTTAATGCTGAAGTTGAGTTATGTCTCAATGGTCTTAGATGTTAATTTGACTCCTTAAATGAGGCATGGCTATTGTCACACATGTTAACGACACACAAATCTGTTAATATTGTTTTGAAAAACACTGCCTTTATTTAGTTTGGCTCATAGAAATGGTTGATGTTTATTAGTAAAATATAAAATTAATTTACAAATTAATATTTTAAAATATCATAATCAATTGTTTAAAATATCATAATTAATTGTTAAAAAAAAGTATAGAAAGATGAAATAGTACTCAAACCAAAACTCTCTATAAGTTATGTGGCTATAGCTACTCCCTTAAAACAGGTTAGGCTCACTTTGGTAAGAAAACAGATCGGGCTCATAGCCAAGGTCCATTTATCAAAAAGCGCTTTTTGTTAGTTACCTAATTCTTTCTAAAATCTGAGTGTGATCCAAAAGGAAGAAACAGAAAATAGCCCACATCCAGTAACAAAGAAGGGAACATTTTACATCAAAATTCTTTCCTCAATACCAATGACCTATTAGTTTGAATGGAAGAAATTTGATTATTTTAAAATAAAATCTTGAATTCAAATCTTGTGAATAAAGAGACAAGTACTTGGAGAGCTTCCCACCTTATGGGGTTTGATACAGTTTGACTCCAAATCAGTTGAAATTTAATGTGACTTCCTTATGTTAAGGGATTTGATACTAAAAAAAAAAAAAAATTCTTTCCTCAATGTGATTTGAACTCTAAAGAAGGCAAAGAAAAGCCAATCACCTCACAAGCTTGGTGTTGGTGGCAAGCTAGTCTTTGGACCCATTTGGTATAACATTTAAGGGTAGTAGTTGATAGTTTTGTCTAGGCTAAATTTAATTTTTCATCTACTAACTATTATTCTTTTATCAATTTAGTCTAGAAAGTTTAGTTTTTTTCCAAATTCATCTATATAATAAACTTCTATTGGTTTTTTTAATAGAATCCCTTGTCAATCCTTATATGGCACCAGTTCGCACTTACATGGCATATGCAATTTTAAAAAATTATACTTTAACCCCAAAAACTTCACAAAATTTTCAATTAAGTTTTATTTTAAGACACTCCACAATCCAATTTAGTCAACTAAGTCCTTAAATGGACTAAATATAATTAATCAAAACTAATGATAAATAATTAAGATTGTAAACTTAAAATTTTAATTAATTTAGAATATAATATTATTTTTATCTAATTAAAATTTAAAAAAATCTTTTATATGTAAAAATTTTGAAAACATATTCTCTCTATCCTAAAATAATAAACATTTTTGAATTTATCTTTAAAATGAAGATTTAGAAACAATTCTATTATTATATATTTTATCCTTAAAAAGAAATAAAATAAAGAACCTTTTTCATGGTAAGAAAGATAATTAAAATTAAGATATAATCATAAAATTAAAGTAAGAAAAAATATTTGTCTCTTTTAAAATATGAAAAAAATCACTATATTTTAAGACAAATTCTAAAAAAAAAAAGTCAATTATTTTGGGATGGAGGGAGAACATTCTAACTTTACTCCATCCGTACCAAAATAATTGTTGTTTTATGATTTCAAATTTTTCTCAAATTAATTATCATTTTTCAATTTTTCAAGGTAGACATATATTTTTTACCTTAACCTTATTATTATATATTTATTTTAATTAATCATCCCATCACAAAAAGTCTCTTTTTATCTTTTATTTCTTTTTAAGGTACTATAGGTAAATATAAACTATCCTTAAATTTTTAATTTGAAAAAATAAAATGAAAGTTATTTTGAGAGTGAATATGATAAAAATTAATTTTTTTGAACTAAATAAAAAGGATATAATTTTATCCTAATAATAACAATGATGATTTTTTTAGTTGTTAATCAAAATTAAAACATACAGATATATTACAAAATTAAAAATAAAAAGAAAAAAGAAAAAATCTCACTTGGAAAGTAAAAACATTGTTAAGATAACAAATGGCAAAAAAGAAAATGGAAGAAGCACAATTTTTCAATAAGTGCTTATGCCAGGTAAGTATCCCATGGGAGTCCATTAAAAAAAACTACCAAAAGTTTATTAGATAGATGAATCTGAAATGATTTTTAAAATTTATAGATAAATTTGGGAGAAACTAAACTTTATAGATTAAAATGAAAAGAGAATGATAGTTAGTAGATGAAAAATTAAATTTAGTCGTTTTGTCCACATCGCTAAAGATAAGTATTTGGTAAATTTATTTATTTCAAAACTAATACAAATTAGGTGTTTAGTAAATTTTTTTATTTATGGCTTAAAACTAACAGATAATAGTTAGAATTTAAATTGCTAATGAATTGAAAAAAATTATCTAAGGTAGAACTAGACCAAATTGTTAACTGATTGAAATTTTTAATTTTTATTAACAAATTTATCCATTTTAATTTTTTAATTTTTACTATGGTTTTTAATTAATATTTATTTAATTAGTTTCAACTTTGTTATTTATCTTTAACAACATTAAGTGATCATTATATTTTCATTTTTACATTAATTTATTTAAAAAAATATATCAACCTAATAAACAAAATATGCTAACTAGAAAAAATGATTAAAAATTTTTATTTT